AAAAAAAAGAAGAAGACAGCAAGGCTCTAGGCAATGGCAGTGGTAAACTTCCTTATTCTGAGCAGGAGAGTTAGTTCATGGAAAGGGGAAAGATTTGAAGTGTCAACATTCAGAAAAGGAATGAAATTCTCTCTCATGGACTAAAGGACTGAGGGCCAGAGTTGCAAAGAAAAGGTGATCTGAAGCAATGGTTTATGGTCTGCATATCTTGTAATCAATTGCATCAAATCTTGTATCATTAGCCAGACTTCCTTTTGTCCTTGTTTGAAGTGGACCTTTCGATCATCCTAACCTTGCTTGAATTTAATGAAATAAATCTTTGCTATCGTTTTGTTCGCATTCTACTCTAGCCTTGCCTTTTTATTTAGTATTGGGAATGCTAGTTAAACATGAGACTATATTTCAGTTAATATAATTGCTTATCGAATCAAAATCTCTTGATGAATTTGAAAGGTTGGATGAGAATTACAGGGAGAAAAGAAGCTAAATTCGATAGCCAAGGAGTCATCCATGCTAGTTGAAGCTCCAATAGCAAATGAAGGTTCAACTTACTGGGGCAATATTTTCAAATATCTCTTCATGGGAAACAAATGAGATTCTACCTCTTGTGTTCAATAGACTATACATGAATGTGAATCTACTAAGCTGCTACAAAGAGGTGATGACAAGTTGACGAATGCGCATCATAAAGCACATTTAACTCTCGTCAAATATGGGCATCCAATATGTTTAGGGAAGTTTCTTTTCATTTTCATCTTATCTTATGTATGAATATCATTTCACTTGCATTAGTTTCATTGTCATTAGACTTTTCAGACATCACTTCCCCTATTTGATCATTCGATCGTTGCTCGTTTGGTTATCTGATCGCTACCCCTTCAGTCATTCGACCGTTACCTGCTCGATCATTCGATCGTTACTTGTTCGGTCATCCGATCGTTACTCGTTCGGTCAATCCGATCGTTACTCGTTCGGTCAATCCGATCGTTACCCCCTCAGTCATTCGACTGTTACCTGCTCGATCATTCGATTGCTATTCGTTCGGTTATCCGATCGCTACCCCTCGGTCATTCGACCGTTATCTACTCGATTATTCGATCGTTACTCGTTCGGTCATCCGATCGTTACTCGTTCGGTCATCCGATCGTTACCCCTCGGTCATTTGACCGTTATCTACTCGATCACTCGATCGCTACTCGGTTATTTAACCGTTATTGCTTAAGCCTGCTCGGTCGTTTGACCGTAGCTATCCATCTTGCTCGGTCGTTTGACCGTAGCTACTAACGTGCTCGATCATTTGATCGTTACTTGTTCGATTACTCGATTGCTACTCGTTCGGTTATCCGATCGCTACCCCTTCGGTCATTCGACCGTTACCTGCTCGATCATTCGATCGTTACCCACCACTATCTACTCGATCATTTGATCGTTACTCGTTCGGTTAATCTAATTATTGTCCCCTCGGTCATTCGACCGCTACCTATTCGATCATTCAATCGTTACTCGTTCGGTTAATCTGATTGTTGCGGTTTCTTAACCGTTTTTATTTTTCTCGTTCGATTAATCCGATCATTGCGGTTTTCTAACCGTCTTCTCTCATTCGTTCGGTCAATCCAATCGTTGCGATTTTTTAGTTATTTTATCTCATTCGTTCGGTTAATCCGATCATTGCGGCTTTTTAGTCGTTTTCTCTCACTCGTTCGGTTAATCCGATCGTTGCGGTTTTCTAACCATCTTCTCTCATTCGTTCGGTCAATCCGATCGTTGCGGTTTTCTAACCATCTTCTCTCATTCGTTCGGTCAATTCGATCGTTGTGGTTATAAAACCATCTTTGCTTTACTTGTTCAGTCATTCGACCAATTTTACTTTATCTATTTTGTTTTTAAAAAAAAAAAAAAAAGATTTTGAGTTATTCTTGTCTTTTCTTTTCATTCTTGACAAAAAGAAAAGAAAAAAGGGGCAACTGTCATAACTCAAATTTTAGTACGATTTTATTTTAGTTTTATTTTATTTTATTTTAACTCATATGTTTTTATTTTTGTTTTCCTTGTTAGGTTCATGAGTAAAATGGGGGATTTTTGTGAAGGATTGGAAAGAAGTCGAAGGATGAGGGACCCAATTGAAGAAATGAAAAGTTGAAGGGTGAAATGCATTAAAATTCAACCCAAAACCCATTTACACCTTAAACCCATCTTAAATGGCCCAATTCTAACCCATTTCAATTTTAGCCTTAAACCAAAAAAAAACCCCAAAATCAAAATCCAAAAACCCAAGCCTACCAACTACCCAAGCACAAAATCCCAATATCCATTTAACCCAAAAAAAAAAAAAGGGGGAGGAAATAAATAAGTAAACAAAAACAAAAAAAATAGAAACCCTTCCCTGCAACCAAGAACCCACCCCTACTCCCGCACCAGATCCCCTAGGGCCCTGCCCTGAGCCCCACGCCCCAGCGCCCGGAGCCCGCGCCTTGCGCCCTGCGCACCAGCACCCCTGCCCAGCGCCCCTGCTCTGCATCCTCACCCAAGCCCGGCTTGCTGCCTACACCCCTAACCTGCACCTGCCCTGCATCGTGCCCTACCCCCTATCACCGAACTAGCCATCATCACACCCTCGCACGCCTGCCAACTCCGCCTCCCTTCTCCTGCACCCGTCGAGCCTACAGCAGCCTACACCCCCCTCTCTGCGCCGCCCCTCTTCCGCAACCAAATCTCTTTGCGCCGCCCCTCTTCTGCAACCAAATCTCTCTGCGCCGCCCCTCTTCTGCAACCGGATCCTGCACCCCACGTTGCAGCCAACTGAGCATGATGGTAGACCAGCGTCCTTTAGGGTTTCCTTTGATCTTTGTATAAATAGGAGAAGATTGGGGAATTGAGGGGGTTCGGATTTTTCTCCTTCTGCGGTTCCTCTTCTTCTTGTCACTAAAAAGAGAGAAGCAGAGGACAGAAATCCGAAAGAGGGAGAAGGTCTTTGTTGTGTGGTTCTGGTGTTGACGGTGGAGGGGTCTTCTTTTTGTTTTTCTGGTGTTGCCGGCGAAGAAAAGGAAAAGTTTTTCTGTTGAAAGGGGCTCGGTTTTTGTATCGGAGGTTGACAGAGGGCTTATTTGCTGTGTTTGCTTTTGTGTAGGTAATTTTTCTGAACAAAGAAGTTTTTCTGGGAATGGTGGTGAAGGGGACGATGGGAGCCTGGTCCCGTGGGTGGGATAAACTTTGCCGTGAGTGTTGATCTGTTTGTTGATTTTTCTTTGTATTTTTCATCTAATGTTTAAGGTTATATGTATTTTCTTGAGAAAAGGAATGAAAGATTATATATATTTGCCTGTTTAGTTGCCTGACGAATCTGCGAATCTATGAATCTTTTGACGAATTTGTGAATTTGTGAATCTGTTCATCGTTCTGCCAAAAAATGTATTCATGATGAACCCTAATTTTGGCTAAGTTGTTTGCATGTTTGATCCTTTTTATTGGGTTATTTGATGTTCGGTTGTGTTTTTCTTTTGTTCGGTTCCGATTCAGTAAAAAAAAAAACATAATATAAATAAAAAGAATTAATTAATTAAGATAATTGACTTGATTTATGATTAGTAATATTAATTAATTTTAATTAAAATAAATTAATCATATTTATTCATTTTAATTTAAGATAATTATATTATCTTGATTAAAGATTGATAATGTGATTAATTAATTTTAATTAATGATAAATTAATTATTTAATTAAGTTAATTATTGTATTAATTAATTTAAATCTTTAATTTTTTGTTAATTATCTTTTCTCATTTTAATTTTAACCAAAGTTTTTTTGTAATTAAGCAATTTAGTCAACAT